GTGTGTGAGTGTGTGTGTCCTGTGATGGACTGGTGTCCTCTCCAGGGTGTGTGTCTGTGTGTGTCCTGTGATGGACTGCTGTCCTCTCCAGGGTGCACCCTGTGTTGAGCCTGTTGATTTTGCACTACAGTAGTTCAAGAATAAGTTTAAGTTTATGACTGCTAGTCGGCTAATCGGCTGGGCTGTTGAAACTGATAGTGGGTTTCAGAGTTAAAATGTATTACTTTTAAGATTGGGAATGTGTTATCCCCAACTACATCAGTGTTATGCTATTTCCTTATGTGCCTAAACACTGTATGTGTATGTGTATGTGTATCAGTCATAAACGGAAGACAGCTGGAGGAATGTGCACGTCTTTATTCCGGGACGGGCTGTGGCCCCCCCCCAGCTCTGTTCAGGATAAAACAGACATCAAACAGCCAAGTAATTGCATCTCTATACATTACCAAACTACAAACATTTTGAATAATGGAGTACAGTAAACCCTCCATATTCATGAGTTCAGCATTTGCGCTTCTGTGATTTAGAGTAAGTGTGGGCACTCACTGGTGCTTCATCATCCACAGGTCTGTTTCTCCCGAGCTGCATTGGTCTCTGCAGTAGAGGCAACTGTAGTTTATGTGGAAGTGGATCATGGACTACACTGTAGTTATCCAGGCTCTGTCAGGAAAGATTTAGATATATGTAGTATTTACATCTGTTACCAGAGTGATGCCCCAAAATAATAACAAAATAGCCTCAGTGGTCCCTTACGTTATCACGCCCTCCATTCTCGCAGACAAGGAAAGCTAAAGGAATTAGGAGAAACAGAACCGGATGAACCGCAGGGGCAGCAGGAGAGTGAGATGTCTGAGAGGGAAGGGAGTGAGCACACATTTTCCATTCCTGTCTGTTATCACTGTGCTGCAGTAAACGTGATCAGAGTATGCTAGCGCTGCGTTTATAGTAAAAACAAGACGTAAAAAGTAAAGAAAGTATCCTCTACCAAGAAGGAAAATAACATATCATAACGGTGATCTAATTTATTTGTTTTCACATGCCATTAACTTGAATTGTAGGGGGGAAATAATACTTCGTTTTAAGTTCATCCTCATTAAAAACGCTTACGACCAGTAAAAACGAGAATTTCGTGAACAGTTAGCAGTTATAACAAAAATATTCCTACGGAAACGCTGGTTTCATGAGCTGCAGATCAATGCCCTATTTTCCCCCCACCCATTGATAACTGCCACAGTTTGTTTAGACAGCTCTAGGTAACCAATTCTAACCAAATGATCTTTTAAAGGTAGTCTACTTTTATTGGTAGGGTATTTCAAGAACAGGTCGGTTACTGTTTTGTCAGTGTGTAATATATTCCAGTGTTTTTTAATGTCATGGCTTAGTTTTCTTCTTTCACCATGCGTGCTTTCACGTAACTTCAGCACCGGTTCTCTTCAGTCTGACGCTGTTGTAGCTCCCTGCTTTACTGACATTCTCCAGCAGGGGAAGCTCATATTCCTTCTAATCCCAGAGCACTGCTGGCCTTTGCGTCCAGTGAGTAATAGGGTTTTAATATTTTTAAATCGCAACAGAAACACTGGCAATAGTCCCTTTGTTATAATGTACCCCGATCGGTCATCTATTAAGATTGATCAACATTACCTAGAAGGAGGCTGAAAACAGGGAAAGCTAAATATGATGTACCGAAATACAGGGTGACAATCGCAACCTTTTCCTCTCCCCAGTGATGAATGTTTCTTTCTGCGTGACGAGGTACAGAAAGATATATTTGTACAGGTTGTGTTGAAATCTGAGTGTCCAAGTTCACACTCTAGAATTCCAGCTGGAATCCCTGTGTGGAACTCCCCCCAGTGCTGCTGTAAATGTGTGAGGCGGGAGAGAGATGAGGTGGGATGTGAAATTCCCCATGCACTGTTAATGTGTTGCACAGACTCAGGGAGGAAAAACAGAGTGAATTTGATGAAATCGTAAATGGCCTGTGAGCAAGCACACTGACAGCAACACATTAAGTGTATAAAGTGCCCTGAGCAAACAGATGTGTTCAATAGAAAAGGGTACTTAGAGTAACCAGTGACTTTACTAGGCAGGCAGACTGATGTCAACTTTATGGGGCGCTTTAAAATAAAATTACCAATCCCTTGTTTTGCATTAAGAGATTAATTAAATTGTATTTTAGGTGCTGCTACATACAGTACCTTCCTAAACTTTTGGGACAAAAAAGTCTAAACTGAGCTTTTAACAATGAATGCTAATTAAAAACATTTCTCATGAAAACAATATGACTGCCAGGTACAACTCCTAAATTATCCACCCATCCATCCTTTTTCTAATCACCTTATCTAACACAGAGAGCAGGGGAGCTGGAGACTATCCTGGCAAGCAGTGACAGCATCACGTTTTAACATGGCTTTGAAGAGTGGTCTCAAAAACAATGAAGTGAGGTAGCTTGATATAATGTGACACCTCTTTAATTTTAGCCAACAGCAAATAACCTGACAAATTGGGACACCTGTCAGTCAACTGTCTACATATTTTGGCTCCATCAAAATAAACAGGTTCAACACCGTCACTTTGTTGTATTGACCCAAGAGAGAAGAACAGAATTTATTAAAAAAGTAATTGGGGTGTTAAGAGTTTGCATCTTCTCCCTGTGTTTGTGTGGGTTTCCTCCGGGTGCTTCTGTTTCCTCCCACAATCCCCGGACGTACTGGTAGGTTAATTGGATTCTGGGATGACTGGCCCTGCTGGGAGTGTGTCTGTGTGCCCTGTGATGGACTGGTGCCCGTCCAGGGTGTGTCTCTCCAGGATGGGCTCCGGCTCCCCTGCGACACTGAATTGGAGAAAGCTTTCAGGAAATGGATGGATGGTGATGGTTAGCTTCAGATTTATAATAATTAACGAATTGATTGTCTGAATCGGCCCTAGTTAAAGACTTACTTCTTAATGTATACATTTTTCTGTATTGCCCATTAATTTCCATTCAGTATAACTATTCAATATAAATAGTCTAGCCAGTCTGGTAGGCTCTTCAACTGAAAATAAAAGAATATATATTTTTTTTTGGGGGGGTTAGTATCTACCTTGATTTTTGTTATTGTAAAATGCAAAATATTGAAAATATGATTAGAATGAAATTGAATGAATTGATAATTGTTACTCGACAATTTTTATAGGTGGTTTAATAACATGATGATTATTACAACAGTATTTGCTAACTAGTTTTTTTTATGTTGATGTATCCAACAATAATAAAATAATTAACAATTCAGTGGTGCATACAAGAATTTAATATTTCACAGAACGGGAAGGGATGTGTTTTAGAATTAAATGTTTTCTTTTGGGATTTACAAAATACGGTATTATGATTAACGAACAGTGTAACGGTGAGGCTTTTCAGTGCACAGTGTTGGGGTGTGCAAACGCGTGTGTGTGCCAGTCCATCACAGGGTGTTCAGTCCAGGGTGTGTTCTTACCTTCCATCCTGTGCCTGCAAAGACACAGGATGCAAGACACAGAATAGCTCAGACACAGAATTGCCACGTATAGTTCCCATTGTGTTGCTTTGGAGTCTTCCTAATGTACATCCAGTTATTGTCAGCGTGATGAGGAATCTGGAGAAGAAAAGATCTCCGGGTGTTTTGGCATTATGTAACTCTGGGAAGAACAGAGGCAATCCTGCAGGTGAAGATAGCTTTGACCATAAAAGTTAAAAGTTGCAGACCTGAGTGATGAGACTGGAGAGCGGAACAGAACGAAAAAAGAAATTGGTGTCAAGGGTGATGAGATGGATTGGATTCTTTTGAGAGCTGTGAATTGTGTTTCCATATGTGAGCAGACTTTGCTTTTCCTTCATTCAAATAAAAGATATCTCTGGTCTCTATTTAAAAGCCAACTCTGCCAGTTCCCCTTGTGATTTAAATAGTTTAATCTCTTACTCACACGTGCTTGGATTGAAATTTTAAAGGGCACGATTTCCTAACGTTGTAGATAATTATATCTACAATATTATATAATAACACTATCTGACAAAGAGTTTCTGGTTTGACAGCGACAGTGCTATCTGAGGCATTGTACATAAGCAAATAGCGGCTCGGTTAGTGTTGTGCGTTATTTTAATGTGGACATTTTTGAATACAGAAATGATCGGTTTATATAAATATCTGGCCTTTGCTGGGTGTGGACATCTTGAAAAGCACATGTAAATGTCCTGTTGGAGCCAAGGTGACCACAAAGCAGGTTGTTGTTGGCAAAAACCTTTTACCCCGAGAGGGAAAGCTAAGGAATGTCATGAGGGGGAAAAAGGACGTTGCAGTTGGCAGCCTGTGTCTCGTTGGGAGGAGTATCAGTAAAGCTCTACATCATGGGCTGTCAAAGTAAACACTTTACGGTTTTGTACTTCAAGTGCTTGTAGAATTAAGAAGGAAAACCTATTCAAGAAAGGCAGTAAAAGTACCGCCTGTGAGTTTGGCACAGCAGACGCAGACACTCGGCCCCCGCCCTGAGCCTTGTTTATTTAATGAGTCAATCAGATTCCACTAAATCCAATGAGTAACTAACAAAACATGTGTGAGAAAGCAGCCCTTTTAAAACAACAACAACAACAACAACAAGAAGAAGAAGGAGCTGTGGCATTATAGCAGCTCCTTCTTCCCTGGGCCTTTTCCATTGTGGCGACATTTTATGAGGTGCAGAAAAGCGATATTTCCAGTAGACGTTTTAGCCTACCTCCCTGCTGGCTAGCTCTTAAGAGTCAGGCTGTGCGGCGTACTGTATGTTTCTGACCTTTGCCCTTACTTGAGCAGTGAACACCACTGTAATAGAGAGTCATTTGCCCTTTCTACAGGGGCTGTAGAAGCTCTCAAACGCCTTTTTTCCGGAAGATCAGATGCTCGTCTGTACTGCGGGGAGCATCGATCTTCTCCCCCACAGAGTTGCCCATCTCGCTGCTCCGCTGTTGTAACCTACCGCCTTGTGGTTCTTGCAGACCCCCTGATCATCAGGGGCTGGATTTTGCACTTCTTCACAGCCTTGGGCACGAGGGAAGCACACGGGCACACCTCGAGGGGCACAACTGCCCTGTGAGCAGGACACGACAGAGCATCAGGTCACCTGGAGATTTTATTTCGCCAGCTTCTGCCCGTTGTCTCATGGGAGATGTCCGTGCCACCTTTCCGAGCACACCCTTTCTCAGGAGTCCCACAGGGTGTCCTTTATTTGGGTTCGGGTACTTACTTCAGCCATCTGTGCGTTTCAGCAGCTGTTTGCTGTTTGTTAATTGGTTCTGTTTTATCAGCACAGGGACACCCCTGAGAACAACCCAGACACCCCTTTTGAATTCACCCCAGAAAATCTGAAGGTAAGAAGAGCCCAGATCCGTCAGAATATATTTAAAACCCCACTTTGTTTCACAAAGGAGAATGGTCTTCCTGCATGTGGCTTCTGTGTTTGCAATGTTTAGAACAATACTATATTAAAGACCAGGACATGGGTGTAAAATTTAAAGTTCTGTCACTAAACACAGATATATGAATAGATTTTCCTTTAACTAACCCAAATAACTAGCTGTGCTTTTGTGAGACACTAGTGATTGCAAGCATCGTTTGTAAAAGCTTTTGTTTGACATTGTCTATCATTTATTATGCACCTTAAGGTGAGATGTCTAGTAAAAGCTAGGGTGACCTGTAGTTTTTGTAGCCATTCATGATCTTCCTTTATTGGTTCTGTATAAAATCACATTAAAACTGTCCTTTACAGCTGATTTGTGCTTATGCTGTACTATTAATGACAAACAGATGGTTGTAGTCATGGAGTTTTAATTACGCTTGATCACCTTGAGTTAAATACTTGAAACTGGCATTCTCTGTGTTTCAGAATGCTGTGTCTATGATTTTTATATAGATCAAATTGGGCAGAAGGTATAAATTCACTTTGTACTGGAATACCGATGCATATGTTGACTTAAGAATTAAATTTGAGCCCCATGGAGATCAAAGATCGAAATAACGCTATTTTATTACATCCTAGCTAGGCTAAATTGAACTTCAAGCTTTTTAGATTAGACTAATGACAGTCATTACAGCTTTTTTTGTGATCGAAGAAAAAGGCAGTATGCCTTATGTTTGAAACTTCAAAAGGCGTGAGATTAAAAATAAACATTCCAATTTAGTGTTTGTTATCCATTGTATTATGAAAAAAATAAAAACTGACTTTTTTTAACGGGAACCCCCAAGTTGAGTGACTGTTCTCAAGAAGGAGCTCCAGAGCGGACGCGTCCAGTACTGGCGAGCTACAGGGTGACTTAGGTTGAACTAAATCCTGCTAAGGACCGGAAAGATGCCAGATTTTCTCTCTCTACTTACAATCGTACAAAGTGGATTTAACACCGCACCTCTGTCTGCCCTGAAGGGACTGACGCTAGCTGGAAGTGTGGGAAGGGACTTGGAACTGATGGGGGGGGGAACCGAACTCGCGCGTGCTGCGTATCTGGAGTTTTTTTCTGAACTCGTGTGGCCATGCCTCTTTCCCCCCCGAGAGAGCCGAGGCGATTGTGCAGAACTACCCGGACGGACACCAGGCTGCGGCGACCCTCCCCGTCCTGGACCTGGCGCAGAGGCAGCACGGCTGGCTGCCCATCTCGGCCATGAACAAGGTACGCAGGAAGTCTGGATACGGGGCGGTGCGGGGAAGTCTGTGCGACGGATAGGCATCCGTGGGGTAGGCTGGTCCACGCTCTTCTTGTTCCCACCCCAGAAAAACACCACAGAGTTTCAGTCTTTCCACTGCTCGTTTGTTTGCAGAGCTCCTCATGGGTTTTTGTGACCCCCCCCAACCTGGTGTGGGCGCACCAGAACCTTACATGAACATGACCACGTTTTGCTGTGAGCAAAATTACAAATACACTGCCCGTTCATATACCGATAACCATGCAAGTATATATACAAATCCCGAATATGTTGGCATTTGTAAATAAACATTATCCTTAAATAAAGACACCATGACTTGACACTTGTTTTTGATCACCTCTCACAGGAATATTCAGAATCCAGTTTTGTTTTTTGTTCCTCCCCCCCCAATGAAGAAGACATGCTCTTTGATCAGTGTCCCTTGGAGTTTTGTGTGCACGCAGACCGTCACACTTCCAGGAAATGAAATGTGCATTTTGTCGGGTCTTGGCTGGGGCTTGTGGTTCTTTCCACTAAAAACACCCAACCTGCGACTTCAGAGTACTGTGAGATTTACGTCTGGTTTGCACTTGAGTCTGAGCAGTGGCATGTTGTTAGGCTTCCAGGTGGCGAAAGCATGCAGAATGTTTTAAGGATTTCTTCCCGTCCCCGTGTGCCACGACACAAACAGCTTTATACAAGGCAGGGGAGCCACTGAACATGTTAGGCCAATTGCCAAGGATACGATAGCCAGCTCACAGGCATCCCTTCTTCACACCGAGATGCCTGTACGAGCTCTGTTTACGAGCCCTTTTCTCCACCCACAAACAAGCTAATTGAAACTTGGCACATGTCGCAGAACAACAACAGCCGCTTTTCGTAAGCTGATCGTAGAAATCATGTGCCGATAGCAAAGACACTGAGGTGCAATGAAACTTTAAAGGAGAGTGGAAGATCCGGTTACTGTAGCTCTTTGTAGCTGCACCTCAAATAATCTGGAGGAAAATCGACAGTATGAGAGTGCCAAGCCTTGGCCAAATTAAAAAAACAAGGGAAAGAGAAAGAACAGGGAAGAGAATTAATACAAACGATTTATTCTGCATTATTCAGAATTTATTCTGTATTACAGTTAATTGAACTGAACTGGGTACACTTTGCCTCTTGAAACTGTCTCAAATGTTAACTTTGAAATAGAATTGTACAGTTCAAGAACTCCAATGTTTTCTTTTTTTTTACAGGAAACCTTGCAATTATCTGCTTTTACAGTATTCATTACTTTATTGATTTGGCAACAACATTTCAAGAAAACACAATGTTTTTTAATAGTAGACATAAATCTTAACATATAATTTAATTCAACACCATTCCAGATTATCAGTATGCATCCCCAAAGGATTGCTTAAGGAAACAATAGGCTGGAACTTCTGATTTTCATAAACTCATTTTCACCAGTAAAAATACTAGTGAATCCGTTTACTTAGCAATCAGCTTAGTGAACTCATGAAAAAATCATGGAACTAGAAATAAGTAAAACAAAAGAAAACATTTAATTGTATTTTTTTTTAAGGGTTGAGTGTTTGGTTCTTCTCAAAACCAAACATGTTGCATCTTTGTAGCATCGGATATACTGTTGATAAGGAAAAGCGATACCCGTAAAAATAATTTTACAATGCCACACAATACCTGTAAAAATAATTTAACAACGCCACACTCCTCATAAAGCTCAAGGAAAGCCAGCTTGCAAACTTAAAACCCACTCACAGCCTACTTTACATTAATGAAAAGGCAGAAACATCAGAAACTACCATTTTGTGTTTGTTGGCCCACAATACCTGCAGTTATCAGAAACATAAGCTTCTTTTAGGTATAAACTTCTTAGGTTCCTGTGCTAATTATCTTTTCTGGTAATTTAACAAAGCCTTTTGTAGAACTCAACACTCGAGCTGGCCTATGCTGTCAGTGTTCTTTTGTTCCTCTGCAAGAGGAGGTCAGGGAGTTGGCAGGCGACTCGCATGCAGCTGCAAAGACAATCCGTCCTTCTGTATTCTGGGAGTTTTATTGTGCCAAGGCCCTCTTCAGGTACCGCAGATCCCAGGCCCCTTGAACGTCAGGAAAGATGTCGCAGTATGATTGAGTGACTGCTGCTGTACCTCTTGATGCCGTCGTTTCAGGTGGCAGAACTGCTGGATGTGCCACCTATGAGGGTGTATGAAGTCGCTACGTTTTACACCATGTTCAATCGCAAGCCCGTAGGCAAATACCACATTCAGATTTGCACAACCACGCCGTGCATGCTGTGCAACTCTGACAGCATCCTGGAGGCCATCCAGAACAAACTGGGTAAGTAGGAGAATTGTGTAATTTATGAATAATCATTTATTCAAAACATTGTTTCAGATATCACTTTGTATGTTAAGCGACAGTAAATGGTTATATTCATTAGACTTACGAAGGACCAGGCTTTCTGAAACAGACAATATTCTGTGCTGTCAAACCTTTGCATGCGTAATCCAGTCGCAGTCTGATAAATTCAACTGTACAAGTGAACGTAACTTTGCAGGCGACACTGGGTATTTGAACGTGCACAGCTGTGAAACGGCCTAAAATGAAAGGAAGAATTTTATTGCACTTCAAGATCATCTTTGCCATCTGTATGTCTCTAAGGCACCTGGCACTCTGCACCTAAAAGGGTGGTTTGTTATTAAGCCTACATGCAACAAGAAGTATCGAGTCACAGGAAACCACCCATTCAGTCCAAGTGAAATCAAAGCAAGCAGGTGCTCAGGCAGCGTGAAAACGGCCAAGACCCTAAGTCAATGTTAGGTGATACTGTTTGTTCCAGATACGAGACAAAAACTAGCTCTCTGGGGCTTGAACTTCACAGCTACACAACCAAGCGCTGTGATCCTTGAAGGTTTCGCACACACTGTCG